TAAGGTGCATCTAAAAAAGTAAAAAAAAATGTTTAAAAATTTAAAAATATTCACTAAAAACAAAAAAACACGAAAATAAAAAAAGTCAGTTTTCAAAAAACTTAATCCAGAAAACTCAAACCAAACATACTGACTGGTTTTTTGGATCTAAGTTTGGGGGCACTTTCTGGGGTCTTCTCTGTTATTTATACTTCTCACTGAAAACCGTCGAACTACACTTCTAACCGTCGAACCGCCCCTCCATGATCACTGATCATATTGCCTTATAGTTGGCTCCACTATGCCAATATCTACAGCTAGGCTTCCCTCATAATTTTGAATTTAAATACGAGTAACTGTTGAAGTCACATCATTTTGCATCTCTTTGTTGATCCAATGCTACGCAGATTTTATAAAAACTAATACTAACTGCCACGTGTACGATTACGATCGAGGGTTTGAATTGTTTTCCCGCATTGCCCTTATCTTGTCACGTGTTGAACTATCATTGATTTATACAAAATATGTAACCAACAAAGACCTTTATAAATTTTTCATAATTTAATTTATAATGATATAATTTGACAAATGTCAATTTTTTATTGGTTAAATACTCAATGATATGGAGCCCACTACTCTTGTCACATTATTGTGGATGCAAAATGTGGGCTTCTAACATTGTTTTAGAAATTATATCTTGATCTTTTAAATTTCTAATCATATAATAAATAATTTTTTATCTATTAATAAATCATTAAATCAATAACTATTTTTAATGATGTTAAAAATATATCTCATAACATTCTGATAATTTTATTATAAGTATGAGAGTAATTAGAAATTTATTTTTTTCTATTAGTTTTGTTAAATAAATTCTAACAAGAAATATTTGTAATTTTTTAAATCAAAAAAATTAATTTATATTTTAGTAAATCTTTAAAAAATATATTTATAATTTATCTAAAAATTATATGCATATCATGTATTCTCTAAATTTTACTGCATGTGTAATAACACATGTACATTATGAATTTTTTAAATTAAAATTTGAAAAAAAATTCATGACATACATGTAAAAAGAGATTGTAATTTGGTATAATAACATTAGTGGTACTACATGCACCAATTAGTATGCCAATTAATATACTAATATATGCTATAACATTATCACTTCAAAATTATGTTCTCCCCCATTATACAAATTACAAAGACCCAAAACCTTTAAAATTATGTCACATCATCTATTATTACACTAATTAATATATTAATTGATACATATAATATTATTCTAATAACATAATGTTGTAATATTATTCTAATAACATAATGTTGTGATATACTGTCATAGTAATTGATGAGCCATTGGATTTAGTGTTGGTATTTTCGAGACTTAAATATATGAAAACGCTTTTAATTATTAGTAAATATCATTTTCCTCCTCACTTATTGACCCCTCTTAAGTATAAAAATTATACAAATATATCCTTTTTGGATGTGTTTTAGAAAATGAAAATGATATATTTTTATAATTAAGAGGTCCAAATGCACAAGTTCATAAATGAGTAAGGTACAATACTATTCACTAATAATTGAGAGGATTTTAATGTAATTAACCCTATTTTCAATTGAGCCCAAACTCAAAACTAATTGAACCAATTTACTCAAAAAGATTGGTTATCATTTATTCAATTTTGTTGTATGCAGGGTAACAAGTAGGACTGTGCAAAATACAACTCAATTCACTAAAACCATCCAATCCACACCAATCTATCCATTAATTGCAGATTAAATTTTGAAATTTATAATCCGTCTTCGAAATCTTTCCACTCCGCTATAATTAATACATATTTTTTTAATTTCTAATGAAATATTAAAGTAAAAATAAGTGATAATAATTTAAAATGTGAAATTTATTTCAAATTATATAATCTCAATGTATATCAAGCTAAGGAAGAAAATCATCTCTTCCTTGGTAGTTGTGTATGCGTTGTAAACTGCTCAAGTTAAAAAAAATAAATAAATAAAAAATGAAAATCGCAATCTTCGTCTGCATTGTAAATTTCTTGCAATCCTTTTTGTTTTATGAAATTTCAATAAACAGTGCAAAATGACATTATTCATTAGTTGCAGAATGAAAAAGATAAAGGCTAATTACGGGTTATTGTAGATTGACTAAAACTTTTTTTTGAAGAAAGCTTATAAAATTCAAAAATTACGGGAGAGAAGTGAGATCCCTAAATAGTACTGCTCAAGGAAAGGGCTTGTAACTATGGGGAATATCGGAGGAGTATGTCCTACATATAAAATTTTAGAAAGAAAAAAGAAATGTACTAAAAATTAATTCCGTAACACCTACTTAAGATCAGTTAGAGACAAAAATGCCAATATCTACAGCTAGGCTTCCCTCATAATTTTGAATTTAAATACGAGTAACTGTTGAAGTCACATCATTTTGCATCTCTTTGTTGATCCAATGCTACGCAGATTTTATAAAAACTAATACTAACTGCCACGTGTACGATTACGATCGAGGGTTTGAATTGTTTTCCCGCATTGCCCTTATCTTGTCACGTGTTGAACTATAATTGGCTTATACAAAATATGTAGCCAACATTACCCCCCGCACTAATATACCCAATACTTGGTGATATTAGTGGATCCCATAATCATTACACTCTTCTCTCACAAAAAAAGTCAAAAAAGCCAAAAAGCCAAAAAGCCCTTCCCAAACCAAGCTTTTTAGCCCAGGCTAAAATAGTCAAAAAAGCCAAAAAGCCAAAAAGCCAACCCACTTCCCAAACCAAGCCAAGACAATAAGTCACCAGTGCAAAAATGTCAAATATACCCTTACTCCAATAAACACAGTTGAATGATTAGTCACTACTAGAAAACATGGCTTTTGAGTCGGCAGAGTGCCGTCGCAAATAGCGGATTTGCCGACGCAAAAACTTTTTGCGACGGCGTTTCGACGGCAACTCAAGGGACGAAAATGGTGGGGTCGCAAAAAGTTTTTGAGTCAGCAATCTGCCGACACAAAAAGTTTTAATTTTTTGAGACGGTAGATTGCCGACTCAAAAAGTGGTTAAATGTTTTAAAAAATTTAACTCATAATTTTCTCACTGAGGCTCCCAAGGTTCGAACACACACCCATTTGGACAAGTTGACCCAAGGTCAACGCACTACACCCACTTCACCACCACACCTCTTTCAGATATTAAACGAGATATATATTATTTATAGTATATACACTCAATATTAATATAAAAGTATATGTATAAATAAATATATTTATTAAATATAATCAAGTAAATAAATATATATCTTGGTTATAAATTTTTTTTTTTGCTACGGCATCAGTTGCCGACACAAAAAGGTCTAATTTTTTGCGTCGGCACAAATTTACCGACGCAAAAGGAAAAAAAAAAAAAAAAAAAAAAAACAAACAAACAAACAGAGAAGAACAAAAGCGCAACAACCGCAAACCAAAAAGAGTTACGTGATTCATTCCAAAACTAAGATTATGTCTATAGTTGTTATGGTGTCACTATAATTAGAAAGATTACCTAAGATACAAAGATAAATATCCCCTCAACTACATACACATAAAAATTAAGACAATAAGTCACCAGTGCAAAAATGTCAAAACTACCCTTACTCCAATAAACACAGTTGAATGATTAGTGTTTAGTACTTATCAAGATACACAATACCTAATATTTGCAAGTCTTAATTTTATCATTTTAAAGTAAAGGGTGGTCCACCAAGGTGGCTTAAAATTTTATAAATGCCACTGTCACATCATTATTATAAAAAATTATATAAGAAAAAAGTTTTATTAAATATCTAAGGGAAGGCTAGCTCAGTTAACCAAATTCCTTGCACCTCAATAAGAGGCCAAGCATTCAAATCTTGTCACATGTAAAGTTTTCCTCCCAGGACTACAACTTAAAGTGCATCCCCAAAGATAAAATAGAATAAAAGAAAAGAAAATCACATATCTAAGATAGCACTTAGCAGGGTATAAAGATGAAGGAAATAAGCCCTAATTTTGATGGCATCATCCAAGAAGACCCTTTTTTTCTCAAAGAGCAAATCAAACAAAACAAAACACAAATCAAATGCCTAATAAAAGCTCCCCTAAAAAAAGCTTCATTGTTTGGCCTCATCACACACCTGGTTGGCCATAGACACCTCTCTCTCTAACTCTCCATATTCATCTCTCTCTCTCTCTCTCTCTCCTCTCGTCTCGCTTTCCCGCTCTGCGTTCTCTTCTCCCCTTTCCAACTTACTCTCTTCTCTCTCTCTTCTCTTCCTCTCTCTCTCCTCTTATCTCCTCCTCCATGGAGATCCTTCACGTTCAGTGGGAATACACAAATTCTTCAACATCCTGTGAATCCCCAAAAGTGATTCTTTAGATGTTACAGCCAAGATACAAAATCTCTTGCATGAAAGCACCTGATAAAAATGAATCAAGTAAACACTGAAGCTGAAGACAAAATCAGAGCCATCAATGAAGCCTATAGAGTAAGGGGGAAAAAAAACATGAAGTTAGTTTGATAGACTTTATGTCCTACCTCTTTAGCTAATTCATGCAACCATGCAAATTTATTTTATATATAGCATACATTTAAACACACATGCACTCTTAACTGCACGGATTCTTATCCAAATTTTTCTCTCTATCTCAATGCACAGACCATCTCAAGATTATGCATTTTGAATTCTCAATGATAATAGTTTAAAAATGCATTAAGAAAGCAAAGACAAATGATTTCTCATTAAGCATATATGCAAATGCGTACACAAAAAGAACAGAACTTCTGTTCGGTTTTCTGTTCTCCTATCTTAAATATTCTTTGTGCAACACCATGAAGTTAAAAGAGACCGACATGTATAAAGAAAGTAACTTTTGGACAGGGAATAGGAGAGCATCCGAATAAAGTCCGGCCTCCAAAAAAAAAAAAAAAAAAAGTATACGGGTACTCATTAGATCTGTTTCCTTGATTGATAAAAAACATCAGGTACTAAGTATCAAGAAGAAAGAAGAAGAGTTTAAAATAATCGATGAGCCAACGACACCAGAAAGTTCATATCAGCACCATAAGAGTGCAGACGAGAGTTTCTTTTCTCAGCTTTCGCGAAGTGCTAGCCGGAGAAGCAACACCCCAACACCGGGTGGTCTCAGGTCTTTGTCGAGAGACGACAGCTGGAGATGCACCACGCCAACACGGGGAGAATTCTATGGCTCCTTACCAAGAACTACAAGTGAAGGTATTGCCACCCCAAACACCCCTATGACCCCAAAAACCCCTACCACCCCAACAACACCTACCACCCCAACGGCAGGTTTCCAACCTTCACTGTCCAAAATCACAAGCCGGAGGGCCACCCCCATCATTTATTCACAGTCGACAGTTCGGAGGAAACCTCAGCCAATTTTGAAGAAGCTCGAGTGCACGCTCGAGGAATTGTGCCATGGATGTGTCAAGAAGATCAAGATTACAAGAGATGCCATCTCTGATGAGGGGTATGTGAAACATGTCAAGATTTTATTTTTATTTAATTTTTCATTTTTTTGAGAGAATCTTATCTGTAAACTTGGTAAAAACTTATTTGGGATCAAGTCTTATATAAACAAGTTAAACTTGAGCACATTTTAAAGCTCGCTAAGGTTTTAAGTCAAGACTTGCAATTCGATTTGATAAACATATATTCAATTTAAAAAAGAAAAAAGAAAAAATTAAACTATTCAAATTCGGCTTGATTAAATCTCGTTTGAGACAGGATCAAAAGTGAAACAAGTTGAGTTTGAATACATTTTGAAACTCGTTAAATTTTCAAACCAATTTTGAATAACTTCCTACATGGCTCAACTTGTTTACAACCCTATGTACCCAGAGTTTTTACCAACAAAAGTATTTCATATCTCACTGTATGGTGTAGCTTTAAATTTAGTGTGATGTGAATCACACCCGGGATAAATTTGACCCATACATTTCAAATTCTGAATACTTTTCTAAGCAAAAAATCCTAAGTATGTAGCATTATTGTAGAAGTTATTCCTTATGAAAAATACACGCTTGGTTAGAGAATTGTCTGTTACACGGTCTTGTGTAGAACTCACCCAAAAAGTAGCTATTAAGGTGAGGTGCCCTCATGCTTATATACTTAATATTACTTTAGTACTCAGGCGATGTGGGACTTCACTTCACGTTGTCTAGTTTCTATCCGTAGCCGAGTAATTGATACATAAACATACATGTATGTTAGAGCAACTCCATATTTTGCCTAATAAAAATACAAAAGAAAGTACATTATGTATTTATGTATTTTGTCTAGTGTGTACTCCAATAACACTCACTACAGTTAAAATTGGTTTTTCTAGCTTCTAAGGCTCTCCAAATATACCTAGCCTAGAGAGGATGCGGCAAATTGGTTACTGTGTTGTCTATCCTGTTGAAGCTCCATTCTGTGATGAGGCTAGACAAAATTCCTAAAATGCTCTAAATTTATCTTCAGCACGCCATTCCAGCATCCTTCCAAAAAATATTCTCTATTAAATTTTAGATAAATTTTAGCACTTTAATTAGATATGTAACCACCACTATACAATTGGAATGTCACTTCTGTTGACAGGTTGATTGTTCAAGAAGAAGAGTTATTGAAGATAAAAATAAAGCCTGGGTGGAAGACAGGAACAAAGATTACATTCGAGGGAAAAGGCGATGAAAGACCGGGTACTCTGCCAGCAGATATCATCTTCATGATCGACGAGAAAAGACATACAATTTTCAAGAGAGAAAGCGATGATTTGGAGCTCGGAGTTGAGGTCCCTCTGATCAAAGCTCTCACGGGTTGCACCATTAGTGTCCCTCTGCTTGGAGGTGAGAAGATGACTTTGTCATTTGAGGATATCATATATCCAGGCTACGAAAAGATCATCCCCGGCCAGGGCATGCCGAAATCTAAAGAAGGAGGGAGGAGAGGGGATCTAAAACTCAAGTTTCTGGTCAACTTCCCTACAGATTTGACCGATGAACAACGATCAGAAGCTG